AGGTCCGAAAGGAGCTTTGACGCTTATGCTATTGTAACTTTCATAACTAATTTATCTAAATATCAAACATGGTGGTTACACAATCAAAAATGACAAAGATGACCAAAGGTTGGGCTTTCTGCATAATGTGTTATTATTTGTGACAGTCTATACACAGAGTAATTAATCAATGAAACAACCGAGAGAGAAAGTAATTGTTATCTTCTACTTTACTCACCTTTATGGTTCTGTCAGCTGACCCTGTGACAAACCACTGATTCCCTGGTTCCACAGCGATGGACCTCACCCAGCCAAGGTGACCACTGATGACCTATCGGACGAAACGCACTGCTGTTAAAAACAACACAGGGCACATTCCAGATGCAGACTTCACCTGGGTGAAATCAAAGAAATCACCACGTAAACTGGGGAAAGTATCTGTAGCTACCCGAAACAGTTTCCATGGTGGATGCCACTGGGGTTTGGGCATGGTTGGCGCTTTCCTCATGAGTGCAGAATTTCTGGTGCCGCCTCCTTCCATGAGCGACTGAAAATAAATGATTTATGATTAGCTCTGTACTTCTTCCAGGGATATTTTACGGCCAGGATAAACAAGATATCACATCAACTGCACGTGGAAATCCTCTGCGACCTACCACGGCGGTGGAGTGAGGGTGAGATCTCTCTATTCCTCCTGCGTGTCGATGGATGTCACCAACACTGGCTGCTGTGCGGCTCGCGTCCTGCCTGTCATTCAACAAATAAAACTGATTATTGTTAAGGTTTACATGTGAGAAATTGTGCCAAATCCCGAAAAAGTATTATTACTGAACTTCTCCACTGTGGTGGAGGATAAAGGTTTACCTGGCTTGTGAGGGTGGCAAAGCCAATGCCATGGAGTGGATCCCTCCATCACTGGGATTCCTGTGCATCTTTGTGTCGGTAGTCAAGGCCACTCCTGTTGAATGAAATACTGATGTGATACTGGCAACACTGGTGCAGTTCAGTGAATGGGCGTGGAAAACTCAGAAACATGCAACTTGGTTAAAATAAGAGCATCGCACATACCAGGTCCAGAGGGGTAGGCATGTGTCCCGGTGATCAGGTATTCTGGGTCATCTTCCAAGACACATTAAAAATAGATACATTAGTGAGAGAAAAAAAAAAAAAAACACCTTTATACAAGAAACTTAAAAAATCAGCTCAAATAAACTACAACTGTGTCTGGAGGGATCAGCTGGTTTTGTGTGACTTTGAGGGAATACCAGCAACTATTTTTCATGTGACATTCACATTACACTTTGTAATAAACTATTTATCTCAATGAGTTTTTAAGCAATCTAATGCGATCATATTGTAGTTAGCATGCAGAGTTAATTTCCTCCTCACCTGGCTGTGTGTAGCTCTGGTGGCTTTGCATGCTGCCTGAAAGAAGTGACACTCTGTCTTTGCATTCCTTCAGGACAGGCATGTGTAAGACTGCTCCATACTCCGCTTTCAGTTTCACATCCATCTTTACCTTGTGGCTGCAAATACAGGAGACAAAGATGCATCTTTTTTTTACCGCTTCAAAATAACACATGCAACCAATCCAGTGAATGAGCACTATCATAGCGATAATATGATCTTGTCATGTTGTTATTTTACAGGCCAAAACATGAATTCTTACTGTAAATATGAAGACTTCTGCCTGATGTAATGCATAACACTGGTGCACAGTTCATTGCTATGAACATCAGTTAGATTATTGGCCGAGGAGTGGACAATATAGATCAAATCTTCTCTCATAGCACATATTACTTAATATCACAATACTTAATGATATAATTTGATTAGGGCTACAACTAAAATGTATTTTCATTAGTGATTAACCTGCCAATTTTTTCACATCAGGACTTCTCATAGCCCAAGATGATGTCTTCAGATATCTCGCTTTGTTCAACCAAAAATCCAAAGATATTCAGTTTACTGTGATATGTGACAAAGAAAAGCAGCAACGTTCTTTCATTTCAGAAGCTGGAACCAGAGAATGTTTATCATAGTTTCATTTTTTTTTCATGAAAAATTATTGAAATAATCAATCAATTAATAGTTTCAGCTCTAGTATTGATTTATAATAAATAAACAATAGAAAAATGATCGGTTTTACCAAGTACTGACTTACTAGGCTGCCAATTTTGTCCTGTTTGTTAAGTTGGTGAAATAAAAAGGATCAATTCATTAACATTTGAAGAAATGCTCAAGTTTGCAGGGGTTGTATTTACTTCTTTTCACTTCTCCAATCAACAAGTTACGTAATTTGCCCAGTGATGCCCAAACTTTTCCATAAAACTGTATTTCATTACACCACACACCCTCTAGTTTCTTTGCAAGCATACAAACTCTCATCATTTGGTCTTGTTTCACAGAAGTCAGTCAGAAGACTGAAATTTCTGCTACTCGACATTATTTTCCATAATAAGATCCTAAACATCATATGGTCTCTGTACCGCCCAGGCAGGTACTCAGAAAAGGGTTAGCACAGCAAAAGCCCCCAACATCAATATTATTAATCCAGTAGTAACTAAAGTTAACACATAGATGTAGTGGGGTATAAAGTAAGGTATTTACCTCTGGGCTGTGGAGGAGTATAGGTATATAGTCGCATAAAATAGAAATACTCCAGTAAAGTACAAATAGTAGAGACCGATGAGAGTTTTAAAACCAGTGTAAGATTTGCGAACCCTTTACTGTACAGTAAGAAACAATAACGTTAAAGATGTTCTGCTGCTGATTTTAATGTAAATCGCCAGATTTACCTTTCATCGTCCAGTGCGATGGATTTCGCATGGTCGGACACAAACATATCATGGGTCCTTTTGAGAGACCTGAAGACCAGAGTGTGGACCGAGTGCTTCTGGACATCCTGTGAAAGAAGAGATGTGTTTTAAAAAAAAAAATACCGTAATTAACATCACAAAGACGGTGACCTTTTAAAGTTTCCCAATCCTTTTGCTGTATGTTATCCAAACAACAAAACGTAACGTTAACGCAACGCGTTCCAGTAAATAGCCGGACCCAACCCAGTGGCTTTCCGTGCGGTAGCGTCTGAGCGGGAGCAGAGAAAAAGCCACGAGAGGACTTCAAACATCGACCTACCTCAGACATTGTGGTGATAAATATCCTGATATGACACGGCAGCTGAAGAAATAACTATTTTCAGTAAATTTCTCTTGGCCACACTCGAAAATATATCACAAGCGTGAAAACATGACCACCACCACTACAAACTGACGAATGAATGCTCCGGAAGTAAACAACACCAAAAGCAGTAGCTGGTAATTTGTTAGCGCCACCTGTCGGCCAGGAAGGCAAGCTGCAATTCTGTTAAAAATTAACTTTCTTTTCCACTTTTCCACAAGAAAATCTAAATGTCAACATTCTGCATTTTCACAAATTATATATTAATACAATGGATGTAATTTGAGTGAGTGTAACTTGTGACCACAGGCCATAACTTGGTTTTCCTGCCTTGTGTACCAGGTCATTCATGTTTGCCTAACAAAGCACGTGGATCAATGGTTTTCCAATCCTTCAGTGCCAAGTAAATGTAGTCCACCCATTTAGTGAAAAGTGTGTGGGTTCCCATGTTGTGGCATAATAGGACTAGGTCCAAACAATCCTTTTTAGGATAGAATTCTCAAAAACAACAACTGACCTTGGGGACTTTTAGGAGTGGGGAGGCAGTGGGGCTTTTGTGCAAATAACCAGTGTTAGGCCATGCAAAGGCATTTATCATCTTGGCACAACCATCTACAATGAGCAAGATGGAATTTGGACTCTACCAGTAGCTATCGATGATGCACGGGGACAAGTACTAACAGTACACAATGCAAAGTAAATAAGTGTCCAAATGTGAATCACAATACAGATTACAACCATACTGTTCTAAAAAGAACTCTACCAGTGTAATAGTTGTTTGGGTGTCTGTTGTAATACTGAAAATGTAACTATAGTGCAGTGCAGTTAGTCTTACAAGATTTTATTGCAGCTGAAACAGTTTTTCTGAGCTCAGTCCTGGAAAAGTGAGCACGGGTCGTTTTTATTTAATGTAAAAAACCTGTATTGGCTAATTAAGTGCAACCTTGAGCTTTTAGTGAGGAAAATAAATACCACATAATAAAAACCACATGTAAATTATTTAATTACATACTTCTCAAATCTATACTGGAATGTTTCCAAGTGGCCTTTAGAAGTGCTTTGAGGATCACTGCCCTGGTCAATATTTTTTAATTATTAATTTTATGGTGACAAAGGGCTGCTGATGGATTGCATTTTGCTGCTTCTAAAGCAAATAGATTTTAGCCAGGCTGCTTTTAATTTGTTTAAAATGTTCTCTGTGGAGCCAAATCACTCATTAATCAAACAGCTGAAACAAAATATGCTGCTATTTTGCCATGCTTGTGTGTCCGTGTGTGGAAGTGTGTTATCTATAAGAATATGACCTGGTGTCAGTTAGCTAGAAACCCCTGTAGACTGTGATGAAATCCAAGTCATAGGTTCTGTACTAAATACTACATTTGAGAAACAAATAGTTTTAATGATTGTTGACACTGGTGTTTTTTGTGTTGTACACCCTAAGCAAATGAAATGGACAAAATATTTATATTTAAGATGATATTTATTTGAGGGCTGTGCACCGCATTACATACAGTCGTATACTTATGGTGTATTATGACAAAACATTTGAAAGTATTGCAGAGTTAATTCAGACACATATCTTGTGTTAGCTTTCCCGATTATTTCTTTTTTAGTTTCATCTCCATATTGTTTTATAAAACAGCTGTTTGAAATATGGACTTCACAAGGTAGGTGTTTCCAAACTGGTGCCAATTGAGTCCAAATGACAAACCATATCTGGTAAAGAAAATACATTTATGTAGTGCTAAAAACAACACTGAAGAAGGAAGGGAAAATGTGAACATCAGTGTCCAGCTGGGTGAGATCACCACGGCATGCAAGCATCACACGACAACACATCATGGAGTCAGAACTTTTCCATGGAGGCATTTTATTTGATCTAAGGTGGTGTCAGTGTTGTTGTGCTGAACACATTAAGTGTAGACCTCAAACACATGTGTTTACTTTTTAGGAATCTCCAAGTCCGGCAAACTGTTTCACACCCGCCTGCTGTTCACCGCCTGCTGCGATGCGGCTGAGGGGAATGAGCTTCATGGTGGTCTCTTTCAGGGAGTACCAGCGGTTGTGCCATGTGACCCAAATGATGCCGTTGTCGAAGCCGTATTCACCTGCATCCTTTTCTGTGTACCTGCCACCTGGATGAAGAGAACACAGCACAGTTTAGATAATGATTTTCCACTGTTACATGGATGACAACATGTTTTGGACGATGTTCAGTGGCTGATTTTGTTAATAGAAACATAATTATAGGGCTTTAAATGCCACTAGTCACAGAATTGAACATCAGTTAAAGGTTTTGGCACCGATTTCAGCCATGTGGTCTTACCCTGGTAGTATTTGCCGTTCAAATGCGCAGCATGACATCTGTTCATCCACCAGCCAGAGCCGTCCTGCTGAGCACAGTTGCCATCATACTTGTCATTGTCCTTGTCAACGGTACTGAACTGCATGCCATTGTGAGATGTGTAGAACTTGTCGCTGGGGTCATCTCCAAAGTCAAAGCCATCGAAAGCATCTCCTGCGTCACCACCAAAGTAGTAACCATAGGTGAGACGGTAATTGTCGGCCTCTGACCCCACCCTGAACATGGTGTAGTCTGCATACCTGGAGAAAGGAGGCCACATAGAGGAAAGGAGGATTCAGTGTTTTTGGTAATCTTTGCGTTATCTTTCTCTTCTTCAAAGGAAAACTCATCGCTGGGGTCATGTTTGCTCTGTAACTGATTCCCTTTGCTCCTCTTATATAACCTGTTATCGTGTGTGTGTGTGTGTGTGTGTGTGTGTATGTGTGTATGTGCACATACCTCTTGTTGCCCTCCCAGTCAACAAGTTCTATCCTCAGCACAGTTGGGAGGTTCGTGCTGGCAGTCAGAAGATGCATCTTCTCGTTGCCGAGCCAGAACTCGGTAGTGTCGTCTGGGGAGAGATAACCAAAGCCCTCCTTGTACTGGACCCAGTCCTTGTGGAAGTCCACACTGCCATCACGTCTCTGTGGACACAAAAATATGTTCAGTTTCGAAATAATCATTTGATTACTGTTCTTACAGTTAGTCAACAAAACATTTCCAAAATATGTATGCAACTCTAGAAAGAGTAGCTCACTAAGGGACTGTGTGAAAGTTAGTAGTGAGGAGAGGGAGGTTAGAAAACGAGGAGGGTAGTCTAAGTTTTGTGAGTTGAGAGCAAGTGAGTATCTTTTATTTTTCTCTCACTATTTATGAGTTATTACCACTCAAGGTCTAATTACATGCTTGTTTTATAGGTTTTCACCTTATTAGCTCAAATTTGCATAATTCTGAGTATTCTTAGGACTTTTCTTGCAATGGTGATTTTGGCTTAAAACCTCGACATTTTGGCCTGATGGTGCCACTGAAGGAAAGGTCAAGGGTCGATGAAAATCTAGGATTCATCCTCTGGGAACTAAAGTCTTTTGGCCTGAGTTTTTGAATGTTTTTTGTACCAAATAATACCAAATTTTGTTTCGGCCTTCCCTTGTAAATTTATCACAAAATCACTTCTGACATCTGATGTCAGGCCTCGGCAACATCTGATCTAATGAATATTTTATTGTATTGTAAGAAGAGAATATTAGTTTTAAAGTAGGCTACACAACTTTTAAATATCTTGCTTTGCCTCTTTCATTCATTACTGTAAGCACTCAGCTCTCCCATATTATACTGGGATTTGGGAAGTGGGTGTTGCACTTTTATTTTAAGTCAAAGGGAGGATCTAAAGTAAATATTAATAACACTCAGGATGGTCTAATAATTTTTGGGCAGCCCCTAATCGCTGTTAACAGCTGTTTGCTTTCAGGATCGATAAATGACACAGTATTTATCTGGCTATTACTACCAACTTGTTTTACAAAAATAATATATTGGAATCATCCAGTGCAACATAAAGACAGTAAAGAGACATTTTTCTGAATGGTTCCAAGGAAGCATACCCTCTGTATCACCGTGAAGCCGCGTCCAAAGCTATCAATCTCACAGTAGACCAGGAACTGCTCAGTGGCTTTCACTGGCTTCACAAAGTAAAGACCGCTGCTGGTAGCACCTTTGTTTGCAACATCCTGGCAGTCTAATACAAAAAAGAATATGTTAAAACAATAGCTTGGGTTTACACACATACACACACACACACACACACACACACACACACACACACACACACGTATATATATATATATATATATATATATATAGGATAGTTGAGTCCTTAAACTCCTTTGTTGCTGTTTATGATAATTATAATTATATAATAGTAATAAGTAATAATAAAAATAAGTAATTAAGTCCACATTATAAAGTTTAGAAAGTCCTTTGAAATGAGGTCACAAAAAATTACATCAGGAATAAATGTGTTTACTTTGCACTGATGCACCATATTGATTTTAGTCTCTAACTAAACAATGACCAAGGACAAATATGTTGTTCAGAAGAGGCATGATTGAGAAACTTCTTGTGAAATGGGAATGGCCTGAGGGTCACAGTTGATTTTTTTTTTTTTTTTACCTGTTCCTGTGATGGGTTGGATCTCAACTGTGTCTTGGCAAGGCTCACTGCATTTCTGCTGCAGCTGAATGGAGAGTTGTTTCAATTCTGCCATTCTCCTCTCGTTGGATGAAATTATGTTCTGAAGTTCACTGGGAAGAGGGAAACAAATCCTAAGTAATTCATGCCTCAGTTTCTTACACAGTGGGACAATCATCACAGCTGTGAGAAGTACAAAACGATGACAATGGAAGATATTTTACAAAATAGATACAATCAGAATAAGAAGAAAAGAACGCAGCAGAGGCAAAATTAAAAAATGACAAATCGAACTTGGAAAAAGACATAATCAAATTTAAGTGTTTTTTTTCAAAGTCAGCAGTGAGTCTGAGTTCCCCAGTCAATAGGGGAAAGAGGTGTGGGTGGCAAATTACCCCATGATCTGTGTTTAGTCTTAACTGCGTGGGCGCGGAGGTTGGCGTGCATTGACCTGAAGGCGTGGGCAGTAGCGCCAGTTCTGCTATGTAAAACATTTCCATTACAAGTAAAAACCTTGCATTCAAAACTTTGGAAAGTATGCCGCGATTTCTTGTAGGGTGTTATTTTACATATTGTATTCAATATCACATGCTATTATTGGATTACATTATTATTACTGATGCCTTCATGAGTAAGAAGCATTTTCACATTAAAGTAAATTTTATATTCTTTACATACTGTGTAAAGTCAAATGCATCTTAATTTATAAGCTGTTCATATGTTGTGGGGGAAATTTTTAATTTGCACTTGTAATTTCAGTTGTGAAATAAATGTAAGATGTCGCGTCATCACTATGTCACTTTGCTGCTGTAACACTGCAAATTTCCCCACTGCAGGACTAATTAAGAGTTATCTTATCTTATCTTATCTTATTGCAAGCGAGCCATTAAAGGTATAATTTGTGTGCTAATGGTAACTTACAACATTTGTTGTTCCTGCACAATGATGGTCTTTTCAAAGCGAAGGACATCCTCCAGCATACTCGATGACTTTTTGAAGTATGAGTCTGAAATGAAAAATCAGTTCCAGTAATTAATCATCACCCTTTCAAACCATTCGACCCAGTTAATAAAACTTTCAATATATGCAACAGTTTGTGCTTAAGGCGAGCCAAGAACACATTAAAAAAATATATATATAATTGTTACAGACTGTAATTATCTAGTCATATTAAAAAATGGTACCATGTGGGGAACTCTTTTGAGCTGAAACAGTGGAGTCTTTCATGTAGACAATTTTTTCTTCAGCCCCCTGGGTCAAATTAGCAATTGTTTCCAGTTCTCTTTGCATTTTCTCCAAATCCCTGGTAACTCCTGGCGTATACCTCAGTAGGTAATCAGCCACTCCACATGTAGTAGGACAATATCTTCCCTGAGTACACATAAAGCAAGTGAAAAATATCAATGATAGTCTGCTGAGTGATAAATACATCCACATAGCAAAACCGTAAAAGGTTATCATCAATAGCTGTTTACTTACAAAGCCGTCATTTGGGTTGCAGATTGATGAGAGACTGTCTCCTCTTATTTGCTACACAAGAAAAAAAAAGAAGAAGAAATGATTGAGATGATTTCCTGCACAAGAGCAGTGCATCAGTGTAAAACATAAACTCAGTGACTTACTGCCGATGAGAAGGAGAAAAGTAACAGAAGTCCTCCTGCCGTTGCGAGAAGTGATGGAGCCATGTTGCTTTAGCCACCAGTTGTGGTCTTGTCTTCTTGGAGAATGAGGAGCAGTTTGACTCTGGGGGGATATTTATCTGAACAAGGTCACCAGTTCAGCGTTTGATAAGGGGTTCATATGTAAACATCCCACTCACTGTGTTCAGACAAGGCTGTGACTCAAATGTCCAACTGCGGTCATTTCCCATATTTGACAGGGTCTGTAACTGACAGCTGTAGTTGAGCCATCAGAACACAGCTGTATGTGACTCATTGGCAAACTGTATATTTATGTGGATCTCAGTGTTGGTAATGGTGACAGAGCAAGTCTAAAAGAATGATGACTAAGCTTTGTGTGTGATGGCAACTTTTTTTTTTCTCCACTCGGACTTAACCGTAACTGAGCTTCTTCCAGTTAAGAGACAGGATCGGAACACAGTTTATTCACCTTTCTTATTCAATTTATGATAAAGATCAAAGATAACAACATGAGTCATTCCATAAAGACACAATGTCATTATAACATGCCCGTGTAAAACATTAACATCGGCGTGTTGTCAGTACAGATGTGCTAACAAATGTGGGATAAACTGGCAGGTGTCAGTTAAAATCTTTTAACATGTTGAAGCCTATTTCTGCCAGGAAAAGAAAAAAAAAATATTAGGATGAGAAATAAAAGTAAGAAGTTTAAAATAGAACTGTTAGGAATTACAACTATAAAAATGCCATACTTTGCCACAGGAGACTTCCGTTATACCTTTAGCTTTCTATCAACAGTTCATGTTGGCGTCTTTTAATCATAACCACTATTGTTCCCTTACCTTAACCAAGTAGTTATTACTGTTACCATGACACCAAAGGTCTCCCAACGAACGTAGATACTGTAACCCAAACTGTGAAGTGTTCATAACCATAACCATGTCAGTTTTGTACCTAAACCTAAGCGACCCATAGTTGATTGGCTATAGCAGTATAAGAGCAGGAAATGGTATTATTTTATTTTAACTGTTTTGGAAGACACTGGCAAATGATGCCAAGTGTCAGATCAGAAAAAGATTACATGTCATTTGTGGTGTGTATGTTGTTCTTAAAACTTGTTGGTATGTGTTTTGCATGGAGCCCATCTCTGCCTGAAAATTCAGTAATGATGCAAACAAAAATACTCCAGATATAGTAAGCCAAAATTTTTGAGTCAGGCCTACTATCCAATAATCTTAGTGAAAAGGTCAAAATTTATTCATGGCATGGTAACTTTGAAAGTTACAATTATTACAATTACACAAATATCTTTCAAAAATCATTAAATATTAATTTTACATTTTCTTTCAATGTCATTGATGGACAGAATTCAGGCATAAATTAATGAATAAATTAGTTTTAAATTTTTGCATCATCCTTGAAAAAAAAAAAAATCTTTCTAAACAATGCATTTGTATAAAAAACAACAACATTTCACTCTTAAAGTTTTGTGTATACTGCCATTATGCGACAAATTATCTAAATGAAATGACAAGACACGTAATTTGTTGTTTGATCTGACGCCCTATCGGTAGGCTGATATCATTTGTCTGGGCCTGGACCTTCATCTTCATGATTGCAATAATAAACACATGCCTAAGGAAAGGGAATGATGGTGGCCGTGATTTAAAAAAACAATGCTTACTGTCAGTAGGAAATAAACTGAGATCTCCAGAACTAAAATCCCATGTTTCGGTGACCAGACCCTCCACTGAACATTGACTTAGTGGCTCTGTAATTCTGTCACCTGACTTCCTCCTTTGCTCCTGTCATAATTTCTACAGCCGCTGGAGGGCACTTTCTGAAACAACTATCACTCTTCTTGGAAGGACAGTCTGCCAATATGTAAACTGATCGATCTCACGGTGTGTTCAAAGACATCAAAATGTACGTATCTAAATGCCATTTCATTTACATATCTCATTTCACACCTCCTGGACAGTAAAAATGCCATATCACCTCACCGTCTCAGTCATGTTTAGCGTCTCCACGTGGCTCTGGTTTCATGCTTCTGGGCTTATTTTGAGTCACAGTTAATGGAAATACACCTCCTCTCTTGTAACAGATGAGTTTGAAGCCTTTTCTCAAAACAGGAATGTTCGCCTGCTGTGGATTTTGAAGTGAAGTGCAATGTTTTTCAGTTGGACTCAGGATTTTTTTTTTTTGCAGTTGTGAATTTGCTGGATGTATAATTTAGCATGGATGTAGCTGCTGATTATCCAGTGGGTATTTTTCAGGTTGCACATGGCAAACACACCTCTTTTTTATTACATCAAAACAAACAGTGAAGACATGTGACAACATGAAGCTTAATAATGCTTCATCTGTCCGCCCCATGTTGACATTAGATGGTAAATCTTACCTTAACTACCTCTGCGTGGCCTGGTTTTATAATGTGGGAAAAACCAGGGCCCAGGATGGATATAAAGCCACGCTGACCTGAGAATGAACTGCCAGGGACATGAACCTAAACAGTGCTGAACTTTTGCTGAACTGGCCTCTTTGTGTAGAAACACCAGATGGAAAGTGTCTCTCTCTTTTCCTTTAAGTGCCATGAAAGACACGGACGCTGTTTTTGAACACTGTGTCCAGGATGTTAAGATGTGCTTTGGGTTGTTGTTCTAGTTGATGTATTCAGACACTGATGCAGAATGCAAAACAACATACAAGCAGAACAAAGTTATTCGTTTTCTTTATAAAACGGTGGCAGCTGCAGCTCCCCACTATTCAACCTGTAAATCCAGCCATAGGAATATGGTGCTGAATCATTGTTTTTCCTGAAAACATTCACGTCTTTCCGTCAGTAATCAACTTAAGTTTCAAGACTGAGAAACAAAGTCAGCATAGTTCACAGGTCGTCGGTGCAGGAATTAAATTTAAGGAGCCTTGCTAGGGTTCCCCATCAGCCACAACTATAAGTCTGGAGCCATTTGGCGTAAATCTCCCCAGGACAGAGGGCAAAGGTTTGTTGCAATGCCACCTCAGGGTTCAACCTGCGGTCACAGACGGTAAGTCGACTCAGCTGAACATGGTGTGATCTGAGGTAGAACAAGCAACCAGGCTGACACTTTGTTGTCCACACAACATGGATGACTTTGGTGTAATAATACATCATCTTCTGATGCTCTGCTGTACTGATTTATTGCTTCCATGTTTAATTTGTCTACAGCTAGTTTGATGCGGGTTCCTTTGGTCCTGCAGCTGTTCTATAATAAAAGATGTGGTACACATCTTCCATGTTATTTACACTACTATATTAATATTTGTCTTACATTGCTTCTTTCACGCGTCTCTTGGCTCATTGCTCGTTGTGCCATTCATTACGCTGATTTATATAGTACGTACTTGTTTTGTTTTCTCTCTGAGAAATTACAAGTTGTTTCAAATCAACCTGTCAACTTGAAGTGTGATAAAATAGAAAAATATATAAGCAGGTAAAAGTGCACATTTAATGTTCATGGCTAATGTCATCGTTACTCATGTTTGACTGCTGCTGACAACATATTGATAAGTGTTAGGAGTTTTCATCAGTTTTATTACTTTTAAGGGTTTTCTAACTTCAGGTCTTCCACTGTATGAATACTCACTTTGGATTCTGGTGGAAAACAAATGAGTACATTTAATAAGTACTGTCCTCAAATACAGTTTTAGGTTACTTAAATATTTCTGTTTATGTCAGTATTTCCTTCAACTCAACTACACCTCAGAAGGAAATATTGCAAATTCTACTCACTAACGGCTGTTGTTACTAAGGTTACTTTTACAGTTTCATCTGTAAAGCATCTCATAAATTATGATGCACTGTTATAGAGCAAATTACCAAACAGTATATGAAGTAAATGTTAGCTCCACATCAACTAACTACAGCATGCTGCTTACACATTAAAGCATCAGTAATAATAATTTCATATGATAAGTGAGACAATGTAAAACACAAAAAGGAGCTATTCTGCTATTCTGCTATTCTGTACTTGTAATTTTGACACTTTGGACATATGTACTTGTACTTACTTTTTAACATTATAAATGCAGGACATTTATTTGTACTGGATTATTTTTACATTGCAGTATTGCTAATTGTACTTTGACAAGCATCTGAATATTTATTCCGCCATTGATTGTTACACAGATGATTGCAATATAAATTCAGTGTGTCTATAAATGCTTAGGAATGAAACAGGCTCTCATCGTGACTAAAAGGTTGCGCTTCAAATATAAAACTATTTAAGTTAAACTCTGACAGTTGATTATTATTATCATTATGTTGACTGGTCCAAAAAATGTAACAGCATTAGATGTTTTCAGTGTTTAAAGTCAATGGATGTTAGAATTCATTTAATACTGACTTAATTAATTTACTGAAGATTTGAATGGACATTGTTGACACACCCACTTCATTAACAGTTTGTTCCTTGCTAATAATTTATATTTGTAAGTTTACCATTTAAAATTTTCCAGGATAGAAAAATTTGAGTGGTATAGTGCTGCAAAATCATTATTCACACATACGTCCTCAAAAGTAGGTTATACACACTTTGTGGGTTAAACTGGCGTTCCCACAGTCTGAAAAAGCAGCTGGCCTAAATTAAATACCGGCAATCATTTATCCCTTTTGTGAGGAATTTACAGTATCTAGGTCAGCAAATGAACTGCAACAAATGATTCAAAAGACACAGGATCAAAAAAGGCTGAGGTGTTTTCTCAAGGTATTTTCTGGGTTAAAAGATGAGCGTGTAATCGAAGCCTAGAGGATTAAAGTAATCTGGTCAAAGGAATCTCATACGGTTCCTCAGAGGAAGTGCAGGCCATCCAGCACAGCCTGCTGTTTTCACAGGGCTGATCCTGGATTGATGACGGGACAGAACAGACGGGTCTCTGTGAGTTTGCAACGTCTACCACCTACCAGCGGCGCAGAAAGTCATTGTTTGGAGGTTAATCAGCTTAATAGTCTAATTGGAAGTTGAAAAAAAGATCACCACAAAACAATGACAATCATTATTCTTTTTTTTTTTAACTTTTATCTTTATGTCATTTTGTTTTTCTTCTTGCAGCATC